AATTTTACTATACTTAAGTGTTATATAAATAAACTTATATATTATAATTAACTTATAATTAACTATTATAAAAGACAATGTTACACTATTTTTCAGTATCTCCTCTGCTAAACAGTTCTCATGGTCTATTTGAAGCCCCAAATAATGAGATGAATATTTTTGATGACATTGTGTTTTGAATAATCTCATGCAACTGGAAAGCAAAGTCCTCTTGAATCATTGTTAACAAAAAATACAGAAATGTCATATTCACTCGTAGAATTTTTAATATGCACAGGCCACATTGTACAACGGAAAATCCCAATTTCAAAAGCCTTAGCTGTGGATTACAGCATCACAAAATATTCAACAAAATTATACAACCATATAAAAATTTCAAACATTTGAATGCATTGAAAATGTGAGAGGACACTCCACAAACACGTAACTGATTGAAAGACCAGCAAATTGAAAACACAACAGAGAATGCCAAATAAATACTGTACAAGCACTGGGACATGGTACAAACCCTGCCTGCAGGCCAGCAAAGCTTTTGACTTTTATCAAGCACATTTAGATATTTATTGTGTTAAAACAGTAACAATAAAAAAACTCAAAGAGTGTAGTGTAACATAGCTAGCTAATGCAGGACACTTTATGCAGTGCAGCATTTTTTTGACAGACACAGAAGCTCCTCCAATCCCCCAAACAAAAAAACATCTCAATCAAAGTTCTGAATGCAATACATGTGCACTTTGGCCCAAATCCCAATCAGACAAAGCAACATAAACTAGAATCTTAACAAGGAGAAAAGCAACAGGTGCTACATTAATGGCATTGTGATTTTTGTCTTTGAAATGGATCGAAACACAATGCTCGAGTATCTTAGTCCACAATAAACCATCATAAAAAAACCTTTGGAAGATGACATACAGTAACAATACTGTGCTGGTTGTAATGACCTGTTCAATTCGGAGCACCTTTGGGTTGACTGAAGCCCTTTGAATAGTTAGTATCAAAGCTGTCCATCAGAAAACAGTCCGTATGTGAGCCCTGAGCTGCTGTACTTGTACCTCAACGAGTCATTTGAGTCAATGAAATCCGTCATAGAAGTTCCTGGAAGCTTATGGAATGTGCGTAATTGCTCAAAGAGCTTTGTAGATTATGTTGGAGTTGCTGTAAATGTTTTAAAAGAGAACATTTAACAAATCTGGAATACAAAAGAACATCATTTTCTTTCATGGGGATATTTACTAAGAAATGTTATATTAGGTTAGTTAATACGGCTCTTTTTACTGCCGGGACACCAAAAATTCAAAGCAAGACCTGACTTTTATGATTACATTATTTGGCATTCATCAAAAGGAATCCAAAACCTTGAGCACAAACAAATACCTGAGGTCTTTCAAACCAGAGTAAACTACCTCAAAATCACACATATCTTACAAAACGCGAGGCTATCGCCATATTTCAATACAATGGTGTTGATACAATACAAAAATAAATATTCTTTTCGATTCTTTGTAAAAAAAGACAAGTAGCCAAATACATTTCAACGTAAAAAAGGTAAAAATTCTCCCACGCTCCTTGGCCATCTTAAATGTCTCGTTTTCACTATACACAGCACCAGTTCAAACAGTATTTCACTGCTTCAGAATTTGATGAGGCAGCTGAACTTTATACTTATGGAAACAACATGTTTCTGAAACCAGATCCTTAGAATATCAGTAAAAACAGCCAAATAACAGGTGGTGACTTTGCTGGTTGAGTACAAATTCACAATGTCTTTTTTTTTTTTTTTTCAAATACACTGTGAGGTAAAAATGAAAGATTATAACATAATGGGACAATTTGGGCAGGTATTTTGATTATATGTTAGCTTCTTATTACACAACACATATGTTCTTACCCACAATGCAATACAGATATGGATGACATTTTGAAAAACAGCTAAGCCTTTGCACAAATTGGCTGTATGGCCACAAATATTTTAAACATGTTTCAAAACGGATGCATATTAAGACCCCAAAGAACAGCAAACCTCCTAAATGCTCAATGAAATAAATTGTTCTCTTTCATCAGTAATAAATACGTAATTTAATAACAGTATAGAAAATAAAAATAAAGCACCAAGATAAAGAAATAAATTAAGGGAAAATGTCTCTTGTCTCATTTGAATGATACCTTCAAGCACCATTTAAAGTCAGTCTCCGGATGCCCACTAGGCGGCAACAGAGGACCAAATATAGCTAAACTACCCAGTGCTCCTTAGCAAGCGATTTTAAAATGACAAGATGAATACAAATGTTGACAAAAATACATTTTTTTCTTTAATTTCTCTCAAAATGTGAGAACATTTTGATTGACAGGTAGTTCAACCAGCATCCTGGGTGAATTTTGTCTTGAGGCATTAATGCAATTTTTCTTCACTGGAGTAATTTGCTAGGAAAAGTTGGTTGCAATCACAAAATGAGCAGACCAAAAAAGTAAAGCACCTTTATGAAATCAGTTCATCACTCAATTGCCGACTTGCTTAAGATGCACATCCTCGAAGTGACGCGTTTTTAGTTTATTTTAGTTATTATTTAGTTTAGTTTAGGAAGCAGCCTGGCAACATGCCAGTCTTCGCTTTTGTAGAGTAAACCTGATTTTGGATGCCATCGTTGAGAACCGAAAGCCTTCAAAAGTGATGTTTTCAGTCTGATTTCCTTTCAGTCGCCTTGTTACTTTGGATGCATATTAGCAAAACGTGTTGGGTGAAGTGGTTATTCAGATTAATCCAAAGCTTTTGAGCCAGTGTGTTGAATCAAACACACTTTATACCCCGTCACCTTTAACATGCACACTCAGCATCCCAATCTTCTGCAGGCGGCGACTGCCATCACTGGAACTACACAAAGAAAGGTTTGTGTCTGCTCAATTTGAGAATCTTGCCCAATCGCTGCTTCGCTGTGGCCATACCTTTCTTAGGACGTTTACCTACAAGAAAGAGAAAGGCAAAAAAAAAAAAAAAAGGTTTAAGAAAAAAAATAAAAAAAAAAAAAATTTATAAAATGCTATTTTTATAATATTTTAAAATATTTTTTTATAAAAAAAAAAAAAAAAAAAAAAAAAAAAAAAAAAAAAAACGTGGTAAAAGTGAAATCGTCAAATCAGTCGCAACAACTACCACTCAGGGAGCATCCCAATCTTCTGCAGGCGGCGACTGCCATCACTGGAACTACACAAAGAAAGGTTTGTGTCTGCTCAATTTGAGAATCTTGCCCAATCGCTGCTTCGCTGTGGCCATACCTTTCTTAGGACGTTTACCTACAAGAAAGAGAAAGGCAAAAAAAAAAAAAAAAGGTTTAAGTAAAAAAATATAAATAAATACAATTTATAAAATGCTAATTTTATAATAATTTACAATATGTATTTATAAATAAAAACAAATAATCAAAATTAAAAACAAAACAAAAACAAACAAATAGAAATAAAAACAAATACAAATAAAAATAAAAATAAAAACAAAAATAAAACAAAAACAAATGCAAAACCAAATAAAAACAACAAAATAAAAAAACATGAATAAATTAAAAATAAAAAGTAAAACAATGATACAACAATAAACAAAAAAACAAACAAATAAGTAAACAAAAGAAAAACAAAAAATACACATAAAAATAAAAGCAAAAACAAATAAATAACATGAATAAATTAAAACAACAAACATACAAAACCTAAACAAGATTTACTGGTATCTTAACAGTAAAACATGCAGGTTTCATGTTAAAATGTTTAATGTGCAGAAAAAATGGTGATGCTGTACCTTTGGTGGCCTGATTGCTGATTGGTGGGGGATTTGAAGCAGGCCTCTTGGATGGGTGCAGAGGTGGCGATAGGGATGTTTCACAGTATTGGTAGGCCAAAGTGGGGCTTTCCCCGTGGGCTGGGGAGTGTGTGCGACTGCTCCAAGCTTCACTGCTGCTGTTGCTGCCGCTGTCCTGGCTGTCCATGAAGTTCTTGTGTTCCTGGATCCTATGCTTGAGTTTGGCGGGACATCCTCCTTTTGAATCATGCTCCCGAAAGCCCTCCTAAAGATAACAATAAAAAAGACTGAACCGAAACATTGGCCATTGGAGTAAATGCAAAAATATATATCAATTTAAATTTAAATAAATTACAAAATTGCATAATCTCTCCTATAACATATGGCAGATAAGGATTGGGTTTACAGAAGAACTGGGTTTACCTGTGATGAATTGCTGTCTGAATCCTGGTTCTCCTCTCCTGATGCAGCCTCCTTTCTACCTGAGAATGGAAAAAGAACAGATGCAGTGGTTCATCAAAATTATATTTGATAAGAAAAACTCATGAACTCTTACTGTAGTCAGGGGAGGGATGGTTGGTTCGAGACCACCAGGATTCTTGTGAACTGCTGGGATCTTCTGATGGGTGAGAATACAACAGCCCTGCCATAGACAGCATTCCCTGGATAGCATCCTCTTCTGTGCTTGGCGAGGTAGCGTATTCACTGCAAATGCGATGTAGTTTTAAACAACTGGATTTCAAAAACACACACAACCCTAAATTGTTCCCCAGCACGTCAGCTCTCACCTTTTACCACATTTTTCAAAAGGGTCAAGCTTTTGCCTGGATCGATGCGTATCCGTCGTGTAGCTGGAGCAACTTTTGGTCTTACTTTGGTCGTCTCCACTCATCCTAATCTTTTCATCTTCCTCTTCCTCTGAAGAGCTTTCAGATTCTTCCTCAGAGCAGTTCTTTTTCTGCATGGACAGGAAAAGAGGATTAAACCTAAACTAGGACTCTATGCGCTTCCTGTGCACGAAGGGAAATGGCAACATACCCGTGTAGTGTAGTCCTCATCTGATTCAGAGTCCGATGAGATGTCTGAAAGTACCGATTCTCTGTTCCTGAGATCTGAACTCTCTTGCTTATTAAGATCTGTAGAAAAAAATAGCTCACTATTACGGGCAGGGACATTTTTTTAAAATAATTTTTTTTATACACTAGCTGAGAAAATAAGCAATACAGACAGTTGAAACGTGGTTTTATGCAAATATCTAGTGACTAGAGCACACAAAATTGCATAAAAGGATAAATAAAGGCTAAAATAAATAAATAAATAATTGCACACAATATTTACTGAAAAAATATGTATTTTTGTATTTATTTATTTTGTGTATTATATATGGAAAAAGTAAACTACAGTGCTGAATCTGAGACTTTTGATGGTACCTGCAAAGGAATTCACTTCTCTGGCTACATGATGCTGATCTCTCTCTTTCATTTCAATATCCACTTCCTGTTCTTCCTCTTTAGATACTAGTTTAATCTTGAGTAAATCCATCTTCACATCTCTGGAGCCTTCGTCTTCTTTTATCCTTGGTCTTTTGTCTCCAGCATGCTGCCTGTTATCTCTGCGTGGACAATCAGATGGGGAAAAAGGACGTGTTCCCAAAATTACATGACCAACATAAGCCAAAAAACCCCCCAAAAAAAACAGTCATTGCAACTGACTATTACCTCGCCATAATCCTTCTAAATTTAACAATAAGCGTCATCAAGGCCTGTATGTGTCATTTGTATTTGGCAACGTGGTGATTCATATGCTACATTTACTGCAGCTCCTGATTAATGTGTGATAATCTTCATAGGTTAATGTGGTTTACCTGACTATACATCCATTGCACAGCACCAGACGCAGTTTGTTGTCCAAGCTCCGCTCCGCCACTGCAGCTGAGGCCGTGGAGACCTTGTTGAACTTGCCATTGACCGTCAGGTTAAAGGAGGCATCCTAAAAGACCATCGTTTTTTAGACGATTCTCTATAGATTAGCCTGAATGGCATTTACGGTATTCATTAATTCCACTTACCTCCTCATAAGTACCCATTTCAAGTTTTTTTAAGACTTCCTGGGTGTGCTGCTCAAAGATGTCGAGGTTAGAAGGAGCTTTAGGGCCGTGAGAGTGATGAGGGTGATGATGGTGGTGGTCACGAAGACGTCTGGCTGTCCTGCGTGCGTGAGAACCTCTCTCGTGTGCCGACCTCGTGGAAGGACACGCAGAGATTCCATGAGATTTCATTAGCTTGCTTCCACAGTTCCCATTCTGATAATCCTTGGGTGTTTGAAACAGCATTGTGAGTTCAAATACAACAACTACAATATTAGTTAATAATGTAGCATTGAGAACTTTTTAATCTCCAAAGAACTGTAACACTTAAGAAGACTACACTACAAAAATGGATTCATATTAAGACTATTTTACACTTTACATTTTAGGTTTCTTTGGTTTGCTATATTCGTTAGAATTTAATAAATAGTAATACTAACAACAACAATAACAACTACAACAAAAAAAATTATTTGTATTTATTTATTTCAATTAGTAAACAAATTTCACTGATAAATTACTGATATTACAATTGTATGCTATTTTGTCTTAATAAATAAAAAATAAAATACAAAACTAAAATCGGTAATTTTAAACACTACAAGTTAATTTAGGCATGAAAAATGGATATGATATATTGAATAATATTAGTAGTAGTATTTAAAAAAATTAACCGTAAGTGAATGTTAGCTGATGGCAAAGATAATCTAAAATAAAAATATGGGAAATGAGCATGAGCAATTTTAAGTGTTCTTATTCATATTATCATATAATAAAAGCAGCAACAGAACTAAAATCAAAGTAAAAAAAAATAAATAATAATAATATCCTTCTGATTTCTAGTTTTTCATTTGAGCTCTTTTTGCTTTTTTATCATTTAATTTTCTTTTATTTTTCTGGTGTTGTTGTGTTTTTTAATGCCTTTCTGTAGAACCTCTATTTAAAAAAAAAAAGCAAGCAAGTTTCTGCATGTTTCAAGCAGTCTGGCTTACCTCAAGGTACTGGATTTCCTTGGTGAGCATTTTAATGAGATGGTTGGGTCTGATATGGTCAGGGACCTCGCTGGCTGGCTCTGTGACCTGCGGAAGATGAGCACACATGGCAGACAATAAGGGGTTTGTGCCACAGAGCAAACCTCAGGTTCCCACCCAGAACCACTGACACCAGATATCGGCCCCTGTGGGACGCCCCTTGCCCTCATTATTCCAACAGGGATTATAATGTACAATGGGATGATTGCAGGTGGTTTTAGAGTTAATTTTAAGTTTGCATTTAATCTCAAGATCTGATCTGACAGAGCTGGTGTGGTAAGCCACTATTTCTTTCACCTCTCTCTTTAGCCAGTTCCTCAGTGCAGTAATCAAAGCTTTCACTCCCTTGATCAGGTATTCTGGAGGCAGGCAGTTATCTTCTCGGGATTCTGATGACAGACAATAAACAGTTGATTAGGAGGGACACCCAGGAACGTTGTGGCAGCATGCCAGTGATTTAAGTGCTCTGTATTGACATGCTGAGTGATTTAAGATGACGTACCTTTGAGAGTCTCCAGCAGGTTCTTTGCTACATACCAACAAATAGCCTCAAAATAAGGAAACTTAAAGAGGTCTGGAGTCTTCAGACGCCGCTCCATCTCATAGCACCTAATACGAGGACAGAATCAGTTACATTTAAGCCACAATATATACACAACTCAGAAAACAATATGCTTATTTGAAAAAAAAAATGCAAAAACACTAGACAGCAAAAAAACGTTTCTTGATAAGATCATTTTTGGTTTCAAGGGTTGGGTATATTAATATTTCTTTATGTTATACTTTTGTTGCTGTTTTTATTATTATTATTGTTGTTGTTGTTTATTTTTGTTGTTATTAGTAATAATAATAAAATTTGTTGTATTTTTACTTACATTTTTTGCTTTGTTGCGTTTTTTCTTTGTTATTACTATTATTGTTGTTTATTTAGTTAACCAATATGTGGCTAATAAATACAAGTCATCAGTATTTAACCATATTTAGTATATTTATCCGGTATTTGCCATTTTGTTATTATTATGATTAATATTAATATCAATGTTTAGTTTTTTTCTCTAAATCTGTCTAAA